AAATAAAGCTTTTAATACGTTCACTATTGATCCTGTGCTGAAATAAACTCTGTGTATTGACAGGGCTGGAATCCTACTTTGAAGGGACTCCATAATGCAGCTAGTCAATGGTAAGCTGTCTGCAATCACTCCCAAATAACAGTTAATTACAGCTCACATCCATTTTAAGGAAAGAGTGGTGGAAATAAGAGAGAGAAAGACTCAAGGCAAATATAAAGCTGAAAGGGTACTCAACAGAGAAAATGATGAAGAAAAACAGTTTGAAAAAGTTGATGAAAAATGCCTTACAAGGCTATCCCTCCATTAACCCCGGAGTAGTAAACATCTGAGAGCTTTATGAAGGCAAATCTATCAAGCAACCAAGCAATCCGGGTTTAGCTAGTTAGCTTTAGCAGTTAGACCCTCCTGGTAAATAATATAACTACTCCATTCTGTGGGTGTAACAAGTTGAGGGACATTTGAATGTAGCCATTTCTAGATATGCAAAACAAATTCAGAATAAAGAACTAGCCTATAAGGTCACTGTCAACCAATTTTTACTATTGTTTGTACCTTTTAAACATGAAACATATCAAACGATATATTAAATATATATGCTTTGTCAGCAATTTGTGATGGGGAATATAACACTAAACACTTCAAACCAAAACAAAAATGACTGCTGTCATCCTTCTTATCAAGGTTGTGGCCTTCTAGCTTTAGCATTCACAAAACTTTTCAATAAACTACAAGATTTCTGTTCATTTTATGTGACAGGGAAATGCTGTACTTCACAAATCAAGCTAACAATAAAAAACAGCAAATAATGAATATTAAATGAGAGTACAACTTACCACCTGTTCAAAATGGCTACTCTGACGACTCAGTGATGTCACTTCCTCTTCATCATTTCATTTAAAGGAGCAGGTCACTGTTTGACTGGGTTGATGAGGTTGTATAATTACTTCTTGAAGTAATATAATTAAGCCTGTACACTTGCAAATGTACTATATTCCTCCTGACTAGCAACTCTCCATGCTATAAAAAAGACATCCAAACTTTGGGACATTTTATAAATGTGAGAAAACTGCAGCCAACCGGCCTCAAGGAAATGTAGCGCGATAAAATATTCGTGAAGTCTTTAGGTAACAAAAGAGGTATTACTTAGAAATGGCTGAGCATCAACTTAATAGTGTGTCAGATGAATGTTATCATCTGCCCATGATATATACACTTTCGGCTCGAGGGCGTAGAACAAACTGCCC